ATATACATATTCCAGAGCATAAAAGATCGACCGAGATGTACGATTTCTGTAGCAAGCATTGTCTATCATGTTGCAAAACTTCTTTCACGTGATGATCAGAGAATTTTCATTCAAACAGCCTTGCCATATATAGTGCAATGTTGTTTAGGACAGCAATTTAATGCACGTGTTTATAATCAGGCAAGTAAAATGTGAAACAATGATTAAAATGTGTGGTATGTAAATGTATATCTCATTTGATTTCACTTGTTTTAATTTTTTTTTGTCTAGTTCATTTTGACACAATTGTATGAATTAATGAAAGCAAATTATGGGGATAATAACATATCAGAATATAGAGGTATATATCAAGCAGCTGTGATTGGTTTGCAACAAGAAAGTTTGACAAAAAATTCATCTAGAATACAGGATGATTTTTACTTTTCTAATTTTCATCCATTCAATGATTACTGCTTACAGGTACATGTATATACTGCACGTTTATCTTCAAAAATTGAATTATTTGTAAATATTAATAACGTATTAATTCATCATTTTGTGACGTTTGTAGACGATTTATTATCAATTGCCGCGTTTGACTACCGTAAGTTGTGACGAATGGATTAGTCCGAACGTGTTTAAAGACTTAATGTTTATGGAAAACGATTGTCATCCTCTACAGCTTTGTAACACAGATTCATTTCTGACTAAAAGTACACCTTCCGTATATCTGACCAAATCTTTTGCAGGTAATAAATTAAAACGATAACAAAATATTGCATAAGCTGTAGTATAATTACGTTACAGGTGATACACACGGCGATTCATTAGAAAATAATGTTGAAATTTATATGGAAGGTTTGAACGATATTCAGAAAAAGATCGATCCATCAAAATCTATAGGTTTATGTGGTGATATTTTCGAAGTAATAAATGAATTCATGTTTCTGCAAGATACACAGTTGCAGGAAGGTCTAATAGTTGTAGCTTCTTTTGTCGATCGACCACCGAATTTAGGAGGCATCGCTAGGACATGCGAGATATTTGGAGTTAAAGCACTAGTCGTTGCGAATGCAGATTGTGTAAAGGATAAGGAGTTTCAGTATCTCAGCGTTTCTGCTGATAAATGGTTAAATATCCTGCAGGTACTCGAATAGCTTATTTCTTAAATCCAAATTAAAAAAATTGTAAATAATAACTTTCTGCAGTTTGGCATATAAATAATTTTCTTTTTTTTTTTTTAATTAATACAGCTTCTTTAACTTTTGAAAACTTATTAAGGCTCTTGTTTATTTACCAGTATTATCTCAGATTATATCTCAGAAGCAAGAAACAAATTCTTCGAATTAATATTTGAATAGAGTAAATAGCTTAATTATATTGACACAAAGTGTTCCAAATCATTGCAATCCGGTCTTAAAGCTCCTGGAGTAGTTGCCACAGCTACATTTAATTATGACGTCAAGAGCGAGAAATGACACATTAATTTTTACGTGCCATTTGTAAATAAAGACAATTTGGATAGAACAAAAAAAGGTCACATGGAGTCAGTTTTTGTAAATGAAACATTTTATTTTTCTAGAATCTAATAACTGACCTTGTGAGCTTTCCAAAAAAACTTCAAGTTTTTTTTTTAACCAGTATTATACTTATTGAGAGTTATCAGACTTAGTACCGTCGGTATTAGCATTACCCGAGGTGTCCGACCAACGGCTAAAAAATCTTGAATGTTGTTCAAGATCATAACTTGTCATAATGTGAATATTGTTCGGATAACATTTGTCAAGATCAAGACCATTGGAGGTTGGTCCTCTTATTTTCATTTTTACATAATTTCACCTCATTTCAAGATACATAATTGATCGCCTGACATCTGAGATAATACAATAATAGTGAATGAACATGAGCCTTAAAGACGGTTTGAAAATATTTAAATTGTGGAATATTTATTTTGAAAATTCTTTATTTATCAAGTTTATTGATTCAGATTTCTCAGAAAAATGCTACAATATTTTGAAATCCTTAGGTAAAGCCATATGAATTGCAAAAATTCTTGTTAGACAGGAAGAATACAGGATGGTCTTTAATTGGGGTAGAACAAACGGTCAATAGTACAAATTTGATGACAACGACATTCGAAAAAAGTACCATTCTCGTTTTAGGGTAATTAAATTTCGACTCATGAAAACTTTAAAATCTTAAGAATATAATTAAAAACTATTTTGTAGAAATGAGAAGGATGGTATACCAGCTAATTTCATACCACTTTTTGACAAATGTGTAGAAATACCTCAAGTTGGTGTAACACGATCGTTAAATGTCCATGTTACTGCTGCAATTTGCATATGGCAATATGCAAACCAACATATATTAAAATAATTTTTCTACATTTATAAGATATAAGATAACGATTATAAAATAAATGTATTTTCAACAAAACAAAAGATGTATTACATTGTAATATTTGTTGAAAGAAATGTTTAATTTATATTTTTATATATTTACGAGTAAGTCTAATTTATACAGGATTCTGTATAAAATTATACATGTACTTATACATCATATCCAACAATATGTCGCTTTCCGATACATTCTCCAACAAAGAACCAGCAATATACTTCAACAGCTACTAAGGTATTTATGATACCTTGACGCACGGTAACATCACGATAACGCCCAGTCCGTGCAGAATGGATCAATTGTGAAAATCCATTACGAATTGCTGAGATGTCTTTTAGAGTGGGTGGCGTCAGTTCTACTTTGGCATACTGCAACCATACTTGCAATACAGGCTTTGCTTGAGTAACACCAACTGCAATTTGTATATATTATTTAGTTTTAATTCTTTAAATACTCATGTATACATACATATACATAAACGCGCGCGCGTTGTGATATGTTTGTGATACAAATAATCAAGCTATAATGAAAGTAAGAATTTACTTTTTTTGTAACAAAAGGTAACAAATTTTAAGTACATTAACTTTTAAATGATGATAACATCATTATAAATAATATAAATTAACAAGAAATTTTAATTTACTTAAAATGTTATTATCTTTTGCTACATACACGTATATGTAATTACAGAAAAGTTAATTTATTTAATTTTTGCAATATGAGATATGAAATATTTCTTGTGAAAGAATTAGGTAAGTTTTCAGTAAATTTGAAAAATATATTTGTGTTCTTATATTTGTATTTTTCAAAATTCATATTCTCAAAGACTGTGTTCCAAAATTGACTGCCAATATTGAAAATCTATGGTGCATGTAATGTAAAGCTGACAGTAAATTCGGAACACAGTCAAAGAAAGGGGGATTTTAAGTTAGGGCCGTTTTTCAGCTAATAATGAAAAAATTCCAAGATATACATCATATTAAATGGCTAATCAAGTGGAGTCAAATCGTATATTGGGAAAACATCAGGAACATGAGAGACATCGTGATCAAAACAAATAAATATATCATTTATGCTAGCACATTTATAGAAAAAGTAAGAAAAAGTAAGATAATATAATTGAGCAATAAGGATTGTATTATTTAAACTCGTGGACACTTCTTTTTGAGAAGAAAAATACTGCAAGACGTATAACTTGACGCTATAACAGTATGCTATTTTGTTATAATCTCTATATGCATATTGAAGGTGTAGGAATACAGATGTATTATAGGTGCTTTTGACACTAGTGGAATTATTCCATCCTTGTTATTTATTAAAGAGCAAGAATAAATGATGGTCGCGAGCGTTATGAGTCAACTGGAATGCAATTCTGACAAAACATGAAAAGCGTCATTATTGTTTTCTTACAATACTTTTAATACCTCTAGTATGTGTTACTATCATACATCCTGAAAAAATATATATTTATTGAAAAAATTCTATGTAATCATTTTTTAGATCAAGAAATTTCAAAGGCGAATTTTTCCATGATCCTTATGTATCTTCAAAATAAAAGTTATACCATTTGAGTCCACTTGAGTAGCTATTTAATACATATAATTTGTACATCTCAGAACTTTTTTATTTTGGCTGAAAAACGTCCCTAACTTAATGTTCTTTTTTAAATTGTTTCATGTGGATTTATGTAGCTTATTCTTCTAGAGGTAACTTTTCCTTATGTAACTTTTTCCCTAGAGCAGAAATATAAAAGGTGGAAATTTATTTTATGATGTATTTACATACATAGAAATTTTCACGTGTCCGAGAAAATGTTACATGATTAACCTCATGATCAAAAATTTTGTACTTGTCCAATCCTGATTTATTGTAAAAAACATAATCTCAATATAGTATAAAATTTAATTGCCAGGCAGGATTCAGCGATTTAATAAGACATTTAACACAAAGTATCAACAAAAAAAAAAGAAATTTTATTACGTTAGGTTTACGTGTGTAACTATTTGAGTTTAACAAGTTTAATACGAAATGTTACATAATACGTGATGCACAAATTGCAAGATCAGTTCTTGCTTGAAATAATTATATGATAAATATATAACGACAGAATATTTACAATATCGTCCGTACGTTTTACCAATTCAGCCGATTTTGAAACAAGCCGTGCCATCTTCTGCTTATTCTATCTCTTGAGAAAGAAATAAACTGATCCCGTCAGATGTCAAAGTTAAAGGCGATCTACACTGTGTTGCAAATATTGCAAATCGCAATCCGCCAGTTTATGTCAGAGAGAAATCTGAGAAAGGATATAACGCCAAAACTTGTAACCGCAAAATGGTCGCTGTCGCGCACTATCGCCCTCTGACAAAATGAATGTAAACTACATAGCAACGTCCACTTTTCTTAGAGTACATCGTCCATTTTTCAAGGCAAATGATAAATCGATATTTGGTTCATATAATCGCGTATGACACAATAATATAAACCAAATATCGATTTATTATTTCCTGTCTTGAAAAATGGACGAAGAAAAGTGAACGTTGCTGTATGTACTTTACATCCACTTTGTCAGAGGGCAGTAGTGCGCGGCAGCGACCATTTTGCGGTTACAGGCTTTAGGCCGTCATGTCCTCTCTCAGATTTCTCTCTGGTGGAAGTATTAAGTACATGTTTTAAATAATTTGCTAAGACTAATAATAACGTAAACACTTCTGAAAAACGAAAAAAATAGATAATCAATAGCTCATACTATATTTTGCGCGACTATCGTATGATTATCGATAGCAAAAGGAGATCGATATATCAAATTAACATAAGGTTAGGCTATCGATGTTATTGATAGTCACTATCGATAGTTTTCCATATCCCATTTGTATTCTTACATGACTTTTGATTACATCATAGATCCCTTTTTCTATGGTTGAACTAGTGTGTTCTATACTTTTAGAACTTAAAGTGAGAGATATATTTAATATTTGTCGAAAGCGCGAGAAAGAGAGTTCTAGAGCAATTTAGTGCAGGAACAGAAAAGAGACCACATAACACTGCATTACTTACATTCTCGTAGGCATATCGAGTTGTGACTTTATATATAGCCAAGTGTTTGATAATTCACGTCAGTTCACGTCCGACTATTCTGTGTGGTGTAAACGTGGCAGCAAAGGTGTATCAGCAGTATGGATGCATTTTTTTCTGTACTGTTAATGCTCGTACATCTTTTATATAAGTGGTACGATGCGATCTGCGATGCATTGTATCGGAGATGCACGAAGCCCTGGTGCGCGAGCACGACGGCGGAGCTCGACACGTTGGCCCGCACGTTTAATAGTACGAACAAAATACCCAGGCACCTGGTGATCATATTCGGACGTCTCGGACAATGTGACAAGTCTATTCGGAACTGTGTGCGTATAATTGGATGGTGCATTTCACTTGATATACCTTACATCAGCTTCTTTGATTGTAATGGTAATAAAACACGATTTGGATTAATATTATCTATTATGTGAAATCATCGCGAAAAAAAATTCAAAAGAGAAAAGAAATCGATCGTTTTATGTGTAAATTATATATAAGAGAAAGGGGGGGGGGGTAAGATGATCAAGTGAGTAAAATAACGAATTGTTAATTTTTTTGAGTTAATAATTAATGAAGAGCAGATATTCTTAACTTATTAAAGGCTTTAGGTAATAATACATAATCATAATTATAGTTTGAATTCAACATAATCACAAAAATAGATTACTAAATAGATTGCTAAATAGACTGCAAAAATAGACTGCTAAAGCAGTAAATTGGTTTTTAAAACAATGAACCACTTCTGTGACAGGAAATCCGAGATATTAACCATTGAAGTCGATGATTATTAATATTTTGGTAGTTATAGGGAAGAACGACACTTCTTTCTTGTCAAATTTATTTTTATGCGAAAACACATCAATTGAATTTTTATAAAAATTTATAAATTTTATAAATTCATTTTATTAATATTTTTCTTTAAAACTCATTGTAATATATTGAAATACATGAACCTGTTATATCAAATCTTTTTCTGTTCATAAAAAATTTATTTGTAATTAAAATTGAATTTTTATCATCTTACTCATTATTAATAGTCATCTTACTCATATATGGGAGCAAGATGACGAAATTGACATGTTCTTAAGGAATATAAATTTTAAAAAATTCTAATTTATTTAACAACTTTTTTATTTTAAAAAATGATAACTAAGACTGTAGTAAATTTGAAAAAAAAAATAAATAAATAAATCGTTTTTTTTACCTTACAGAAATTATGAAAAATCAACAAACAACTTTAAGGTTGTCTTACCTCCCTTTCCTCTATATGCAATTACGAAACTAGTCGTCTAGATACAGATATTGCAAGTTTATTTTTTGGTATCACCAAATAATATAATT